AAATTTATATTTATTTGTGTTTTTTCATGGCCTATATGATAAAATAAAATATTCTTGTCACCATTTGTTTTGTTGAACTTTTGATGTAGTTTTTAAATATGTATGTTTTATTTTTTATTTCTATACCAATATTTAAATAAAATAGATTGAAAAAACTTGTGATTTTTCTTCGTTTTGCGCAACGGGATTAAAGATATAGGACGGAGGGAGTATTTATTTTGTAGAATACTCCGTAATTTTTATTTTTTATCTATATACCAATTTATAAAAATTATAGAATTTTATATCATAATTTCAATTTTGTAATCAAATTAGAGACGTGGATAAATTAATATGGTAAATAAAAGGGTTTTATTTAAAGCTTCCCAAAAATATGAGTGTTTGTCTTTTTCGAACAGAAAGAAACCGATGGATATTGGCAAGAAGGGTTTTTACTTTTTAGACTTTTTACTCCGTACATTTCAGTCAAATTGCTTAAAGAAGCCACGCATTTTGATTCCCCGTTCCAAATTCGTGATTCAAAAAAGAGAAATAAGTATTGTACTCCCTGTCCTTTCATTTGACCCGCTTTATTTTTAATTTAATTTATTTTATTGTAAATTAAATTTAAAAAATAAAATTATATATTCAAATACTACGTCAAAAATTTTATAAGACTAGATATGCCATTATTATTCAACTTTATCAAATGAGTAACAAAAATAAATAGACAAGTTATATAAAGTTTGACGATGTAAATAATGCACGTAGAATAAGATTCAAGTAGGACAGAGGGAGTAGAGGGGTGGGTTCAGTTTCAAATCAAAACTAAATACAAAATAGAAAATAAGTATGCCGTTCGATTTGGTTTCATACTTAAATTAAAATATCATTAGTTATTCAATTCAGTTTATGTTGTTTTATTTTAATTTTTTTGTTTTTAAACATAAAAAATTATAAAAATTGAACACTAATCATTTACCCTGTTTGTGTCTATCTCCATGGGTTGTTACACCTTCTTCAAGATATCTTCAAAATGTGTTTGCAACCCTAGTTCCAGAATCACCTTCACATAACTTCGAATAAATTTCTCAAAATCTGGCTTTACGGTACCGAGTAAATAATACTCCCTCCGTCCTATATCTTTCTTCCTGTTGAGCAAAACGAAGAAAAATCTCAAATTTTTTCAATCTATTTTATTTAAATATTGATATGGAAATAAAAAAAAAATATACATATTTAAAAACTACATCAAAAGTTCAACAAATCAAGTGGTGACAAGAATATTTTATTTTATCATATAGGCCATGAAAAAACACAAATAAATATAAATTCCCGTGAAGTTGGAATAGTGCTTTGGGAAGAAAATTTTAGAACGGAAGGAGTATTAAAAAGAATAATGTACAAATACAACGGGCATACCCGCGAACAAGGGGTAGACACTCCCCATAAGACAAACCAAAGAGTAACATAGGCATGCAGGCCCAAACAGAATCAAAGGCACACAGGCCCTGATAGAATTACACCAAAAGTGGACAAATCAAACTAAAAGTCAATGCAAACATATGGCCAAAGACGTCCAAGAATGGTATAAACCATAACTTTAAATTTACAAACAAGAGACGTAATATCAAGAGGCTTATGATCAAAACAAACCTCATTCTGGGACTTTCAAAGCATAAAGACGGTGCAGGCAAATGCAAGCTCCATCGCCCTCCTCCTGGGAAGGGCACCTCTCTTGTTTGACCGCAACCACCAGACAGCTCGTATGAGAGTGGTAAGGTGTGCCTCAATATCCATCCAAGAACGAATCAAACCCCATACATGCTTAGTCACCGAGCAGCTGAAGAACAAATGGTTGGTAGTTTCTAACTCGACTCCACAAAGGAAACATACTCTTGAGATTCTAACATCAAGGAATCCAAGATTAACCTTTGTGGGTAGTCTGTTTTTGAACGCCAACCACAAGGTGAAAGAGCATTTTGGTGGAATAAACGATTGGCGAACTTCATCTAGGGCTTCGGGTTAGAACGAACCCTAAACAAATCATAGATTTTCCCGGAAAGAAGCTTATCGTTGAAGCAGAAAGGTTTCAACGCATCTTCAATTGATAGGGGATTACCAAGCTTAACAAAGAGGAGGTCTCTAATCTCGGCCAACCTCTTGAATAGACAAGAATCCCTCTTCTTAGGTCTCTAATCTCGGCCAAACATTTTTCAAAATCTGGCTTTGATTCTTGTAAAAGGCGCACATCAAATATTCAACTTCTAATTGTTCTTCTTTTGTGCAACTTTTACTCCGTAGTACCTCCCTTTCTTTTAACCACCAATTTGTAAAAAGCAAATATCTACCAGATGTTCTTTTTCTTGGGCAGCAACAACAATTGGTTATTAATGCTCCATGGACGAGATAAAAACAAATACTTTCATAGTTTCTCTTTTTTCTTTTGCTTGGCAGTCCTGCGCAGATTTCAAGTCCGGCTGGCTCGTATTTTTAGATATTAAATCAAGATCGGGAGGGTATGATTTTTGGATATTTAGTTATTTAAACTGAGACTATTTTGTAATTTTATTGAACTTTAATTTTATATTATGTTTTATTTTTAGCTGGTCATGACCGGTTAGTTTCTGACTACTTCACAAAGCACTCCGTCTCCACCGACAAACAATTTAGGCATCCTTTCTGTATGAGTTATTGGTTTTGTTGTATGCTACATCTTTATTCACAAATCATTATTCACAAATCATCCACCTTAAGATCACCATAAACTTAGGTAGTGACAACTTCAGTCATGAAGCAAACAAGCATATAATCATCACACATACATTATCCACAAGGGATCTACAGCTTTATTTATTTAGAAGAAGAAGAAGAAGAAGAAGAAGAAGATATTACACAGAGATGATTGAAGGACCATAAGAGGTGAAGCCCTGTGGACTTGGAAATCTCCAAGTCGCGCTTTCTTCTGCACTTTGGGTAGCCAAATCCATTCTCAGAAACCCTGCCTTAATGAAATTTGACAAGAATTAACCTTTTGGGAATAACCAAGACCCAAATATGTGCAGCAAATGCAGTGATAACCATAACTAGTTTGAGAAAAGTGCAAAAAGAAAGCAAGCAAGCAAACAAATAATTAAGGATTGTCATGCATGTAAAGCTTAGCAATGCCTCTAGCTAATTTGTAGTAATTGGCTATCACACTACTGTGGCAGAAAGTGTAAAACATGAAGTTATTTACCCGGTTCAAGTCCGCCGAATTAGAAAATTTGTATACTAGTACACAACAACTAAAAATGTGCAAACTAACCTAAATGTCTCAAACAAAAATGACTTTGTTATGCATATAAAAACTGATAAATCAAGCCAAACCAAGCCTTTCCCACTAGACAAGAACCGCTAATCCACTATACAGACTAATAATAATCTAGTTGAATCTAGATATGCCAATTGCCTGCAACAATCATGAAACAAATTCATTCAGAGATCTATGCAAAAGGTGGCACGTTGGGTGTATTAAAACCTATATGAAAAAAATGAAACACATACTCTATAATGTTACCTTACCTCTCATTAGTCCATTGCCCTCTTTATGACTGCTGGTTTCTCCCTGCTTCACCATCAGAAATGGGAGAAACTAAGCTTTCTACATAGGTTTCGGCTTCAAGAATATCACCAAAGTTGGTAATCTCAGGATAGCGAAGTGCTTGCGTTTTTGGATCATAGACGACAATGTCTGTTCCAGACACCAATCCAACTTCACCATTGTTACCTATGCCTAATGGAGAGGAGAATGATTGGTACATAGGATCATCCGTAGGTGGAATCGCTACAATCTTAGTCCAGGACTCAACCACTCCATATTCCCTCATCACCCATAGATCCATCTGATACATCTCATACTGGCAGATCACACAGAGATCACCACAAAGCACTCCCAATGTCAATTCAGATGGTCTTTCTCCATAATCCGGCTGTCCTACCTTTCCAAAGACTTCTTTAGACAAGTCTAGTGAAACAATTTCCAAGCTGCCAGTAACACCATCAGGACTCATTGCCCAATGGATCTTACCATTGACATACTTACCCGCAGCGTTCAACAAAACCCCACCCTTACAATCCCCAATTATCCTCCAAGAATCACTCCTCAAGCTATACGACATAACCTCAGTCTCACACGAACCACTGCTGTGAAAGATGGAGAAAATACCAACCACCTTGTAATCATCATTCAACTCGTCATACCCGAACCCGTAAATGAAATAGAACCCGGCCTTCAACTCCACACCCGCATCGGGCAAGGTCTTGATTTTCCGGGTGGCCGGGTTCCATATAAACAGATCTTTCTCTTCAATGGCAATGCAAACCAACCCATTGCAAGAACCAACAACCCAGACTGAATTGTATGGGCTGCTCAAGGGATAATCGACCTCGAACGCCTCCGTCACGGGATGGAACATCACAGACTTGAGGGAGCATTGCTTCAGGGTGAATTGCAGCCCAACCAAGCTGCTCAGAATTCTGTGGTCGGCATAATCCCTCCTTGAAGAGGACACGGTCAGATGCAATTTCACGAAATCGGAGCTGGAAATCAGATCGCGCCATGATCTGGATACGCACCGGAATTTCAAGAGGGACTTTACAGGGAGTCTTGAGAGGATTTCTAAAAGAATCTCTGGAAGAAGCGGAGGGAAGGCGAGGTCTGGTTCTGGGGTGGACGATTGAGTGGGGGTGTCGGGGATTTGGGTTTCAAGATAGCTCCTTTTGCCTCTCTTTCGGTGTTGTGGGGAGTGAGCGGGAGACTTTGGCTCCATTAGAGCACAGATGTTCGATGGTTTGCGAGAAGAAAATGGGAAATGTAAATTCGGAGTTATAAGCAAAGTGCGGGACCCGTGGGATTTGACTCAATCGGATCGAATTTATCCTTAAAGGGGAAATAGATCGGATTTTTTCTTTTTCTGTAGCGACATTTCAGAATTGGGTTCCCTCTCATATAGATCCGATTGATACATGAAGTGTAAACATACGATCTTTCAATAAAAAGAACTAAAATTAAAGTTTTCATTTCTTACCTATGAAAGACGTTTCAGATCGAGCTTCGATCTTAACATTTTTATGCGATTCACCGCGGCATGCGCTAATATGTATTTAATGCATCGATTTCTGGCCTGCGGGTCAACAAACTGCCGGTGAACACCGGCGGAGAAGATTACCGATGGCAAATCACTCTCGCCATTTCTTTCTCTTGGTCTGTAAATTCGCAGATAAAATTACCGATGGCAAATCACTCTCATATTCACTTTGTAATAATAAAAATACGGCCTAACATAAATTATTGTTGTTCCAAGCCAAGTATTAGTGGTTTAGGTAATTCACCTAAATAAGACTAAAACATAATGACTTTCTCAATATAGCATCATATTTTTTTTATTTTCAATATAAGATCATTGGTCATTATCTATTAGTCATTATTCAACTATATGTCCAGCATCACTTGGACATTATTCTTCTCGCTAGTCATTATTAGGTCCTATTTAGAGAATAAAAAGTTTAAGTCCTACATTGAGAAATGACTTATGTTTTAGTCCTATTCAGTACAAATTTCACTAGTGGTTTTTCTTAAAAATAGCCTTACAAGACCCGTTTATTAAAAATCTTTCAAAAACATATTGTCAATTTTACTCGATATTTCAAAAATAATCTTACCTTCACTCTAGAGATAATGCAGGTGTTATGAATATTTACAAATGATTTATTTGTCATTTAAGTCATTTTAATGTGCGGGTAAAATTAATATGTGAAGAAACTAATTTCAGATATTTAACAGTTTGGTTTAAACATTCTAAAAAAAGGACTTCATATTTCACTCTTTAACATTCACCTTTTTATAGAATTTTTTTTAAAAAAATTATTTTAGCAAAATATGATAATAAAAAATACAATAATATAACCTGGTGCATATTATAGTATCTGTTATTTGAATGATTTAGGATTTTAATTTTAAAAAAAACAAAAAGTGATACTTTAAAAAAATAAAAAAATATATATAAATTCTTCCAAACACATTTAAATTTTATAAAGATTTATTTTAAAAAAATTGTTAGGTCACAAAAAAACACATTAGAACCATTTTTTGAGTTTTATTAATTTTGTAAATGTGCAAGGATAGGAGTTGTTCTGGCATGAAAATTTTGATATGCAATGATGGAGACAAGGCAGCTAAGAGCATCTCCAGCATAGAGGCTATATGCTAAAATTTACACAATTTATACTTTGTGGTTAATTTTTTGACACTCCAAGGGAGAGGGTAAAACAAATGTTAAAATACAATATATGGTAAAATACAATTGGCAAAGTGTATATCTACAAGGTGGTTGTAGATAGGGACATGAATAAATGTGTAGTAGGGAGTATATCATACAAAACATGGTTGGAGTAGCTATTAAAAAGTGGAAGTGTAAAATACTGTTGATAGTGTAAAATGAAATTTACACTACCAACTTTTACACTATACATTGGAGATGCTCTAATGAGACCATTAATGTTGTTTTTTAAAAAGTTTTTCAAAATATTTAAAATATTTTGTTTACAACATTTTTCGTATGTTAAAGTGTTACGTTATACTCATCATATATACTACCTCCGTCTCACTGTCTTTGTCCACATTTGACTTTTGGAACTGTTCATCTAAGCACTTTGACTCATCAAATTCTCTCAATGTGTAAGCCTAAAAATAGTCATGTGTGATCTTGTTTGATTCGTCTTAACATATAGATTATTAGTATATAATTTCTATAATTTTTTAATATACAAATTACAAGATAAAATGGATTAAAGAAGTGCATTGGATGATGTGTCAAAAGGTAAGTGGACAAAGACAGTGGGACAGAGGGAGTATTACATTATGCGTATTACATTATTCAAGGCATGCTTTTTAAACTAAAAAATTAATCATCCGTTGCAAAATTGTAAAATTTGTCGTTTATCTCTTCTAGATATAGTGCAAATTAATTAATTGGGATGAGGCGTCTATGATGCATAAATATTGTTTTGAAGCGTTGGATAAAACTATGCGCGATTTAATGCGCGTGGTCAATAAAGATAGTCAGGTCAAACCATTTGGAGGAAAAACAATTGTTTTTGGTGGTGATTTAAAACAAATACTACCAGTAATTTCCAAAGGTACTAGGCAAGATATTGTTTTAGCCACAATTCATTCTTCATACTTGTGGTCTAAATGCAAGGTCCTGAAACTTACCAAAAACATGAGAGTTTCAAATGGAAAGGACAGTGAAAGCGCAGAAATCGAACGTTCTACCAATTGGATAGCAGATATTGGAGATGGAAATGTTGGCGGTCTAAATGATGGTTGTGGAGATATTGAAATTCCATCAGATTTACTGGTGGGGAAAGTCCCGGCGCGTTTGTGGACGGCGGGGTTCTTGGGATTGACCTTCCAGACACGAACCTTGCCGTCCTGGTGTCCGGTGAAGATCTTGTCGCCGGAGATTATGATTGCCTTGACGAGACCGCTGTTGGATTTGAAAGCCCCGAATTCCTTCATCTCCTTCCAGACCCGAATGTTCTTGGAGTCGGAGCCGGTGTAGAGGATCCCGTCGCGGGCGGCGAGGGAATAAATGTGGCCCTCCTCCCGGACCAGAGATCCGATGAGGCCGTTCAGCGGGTGCTTCTGGGAGGCGTTGGCGTTGCCGCTGTTTTCATCCCACGGCGACTTCTCGAAGGGGGTGCTCTGGTTCCAGGGCGACATCATCATGGGGGAGCCCTCGCCGCTGAGGCGGGTGGCCTCGAAGCCGGAGTAGCTGCTGGGACGGTTGTTGTTGAAGTCATCGTCGGCGGAGGAGGAGGAGAAGTTGGGATCGGAATGAGGCGCCGCCGCCATGTCGTCGCCGTTGTTATATATCAGCCGTCTTTGGGAATGATAGTTAATACCGGCCGGAGGAGTATATATATATATATATAAAGAAATCAAAGTCGGCTTTCTTTCTGAAATCTTTTCTTCTTCTTCTTTTTATTGGATCATTTCGATTCCGGATTTAAACGAGGAATGTGAGTTTGAGGTTGTGAAACGGGAGGAAGATCGATGTTGGAGATGTAACTCTAATAATACTCCATGTAATACTACAATTAATATAGTTTTTAAGGAGGTTTTTGAGAATGTATAATTGATGTTTAATATACATTGTTTACTTTACTTCATTATAATAGTAGGTATTGAATATAGTCTACTTATAATACGCATTTTCATGTTAGTAATTCTATTTCAAATTAAATAAACTTTATGATTTGTGATAAACTTTATTTCTTCGTGCATCGCGCGGGTGGTGATGCACTAGTTTATTCTTAAAGGGGGGAAATTGATCGGATTTTTTCTTTTTCTGTAGCGACATTTCAGAATTGGATTCCCTCTCATCTATGGGCCATGGCCGCCCCCATAAGAGCAACTAACTTACTAACATGATAAATTGTCTTTTTTTCTTTTTTTCCCTTTTTTTCATCCCAATATAAGGGGTGTATTCAATCTAGATTTTAAAAGATTATGATAAATTGTTTAAAATTCATGAACTCTCTAAAATCAATGGATTATTTTAAATCTACGCAGAGTTAGATAGATTTTAATGTATTTTATGAATATGATTTTATAAGATTATGGAAGATTGTTTATAATCCATGAAGATTATGTTTTCCTTTTTTTTCTTTTTTCTTCTTCTTTTCTTTTTTTTCCTTTTTCCTCCCAAGAACCTCCGCCGCCACCTCTCCTTTCTTTCTTCTTCCCATTATGCTTTCCTTTCTTTTATTTTCTTTTCTTTTTTCCGTTTTCTTCCCAGGAACCTGCCGCTTCTCTTTTTTCCTTTTTCTTTCTTGGCCATCTCTTACGCCCTTTGGATTGACATCCTCTGTCGCGAATAGAGAGAAGAGCAGTTCGGCTGCAAAATCTTCGGCGAACAGAGAGAAGAGGGCATCTTCGACAGCAAAATCGCTGCAAAATAGGTCAGGATTGACATCCTCCGCGGCAAGATCTTCCAGATCTACTGTCCGGATCCACATCTTCCTCCGCCTCAATTTCTTCCCGGCACTGTTCACGGCGTAACGGGGAAATCGTCTGGGATGAAGGAGTCGATGAAAGAGTTGTCAAAATCCCTATCTTTGGCGTGAGATTTGGGGGTAGATTTGTATTTATATCCAAGGGCTAAAAATCCATCAAAATCTACATATTTTAAAATCTTTAAAAATCTATC